AAAATTAAACAAAAACTAAACATTTGGTTAATTTATATATTCATATTGACGAAAATATAAAAAAAATGACAGAAAGTAAGTAAAAATTTTCAGAATGAAGCAAAAGCCTTTTCTTGTCTTTTTTTATTTATTTATTTAGTACCACTGCCTATTAATTGTTTCTATTCTTTTGTTAATGCAACAGATTCAACATTATATCGAAAAGCAACATTAAATGAATGTAGATTTTCTAAATCTGCTGGTTTATTTCTTCTTATTGTTGCAATTGTATCATTCATAATTAATATTCATTCTTTAATAACAACTAGAAATAATCGTCAACTTTTATCTCGTGATCGAAATCTTATTGTTGGTATGTTTATATCATCATTATGTGTTATTATTATAAGCTTGCCATCAGTTGTTTTACAATGTTTTCTTTGTCATCGTTTATGTTCAACATTAATTTGTCATATTGAAGGTTTTAATTCATTTTTTAATGGTTGTATAACAATGTATATGCTTGTTGCATTATCAATTTTACGCTATATAACAACAGCTAATTCATCATTATCAATAAATTTTCAGAATAAACTTGAAAGACATACATTAATACTTATTATGATTTCTTTTATATTGGCAAGTATTTGGACTGTACCACCAATATTTGGTCGTATGAGTGCTTATGTACCTGAAGGTCTTGGTTTTCATTGTGGTATTAATTGGTTTGATATAACAATACCTAGTCGAATCTATTTCTTTTTACTTTTTATTGGTGTTTATTTTATTCCATTGATTATTATTATTTATGTTAATATATATATTAAACAAACTGTTTATCGTTTAACACATTTACATCCAACAGTTTTAATTGAAATGGAAAATATTCATCATCAAGATGGTGTACGAAAACATATTTCAAATCAATTACGAAATAAAGAAATACAACGTTTACATCGTTTATATGAAGATCGTCGTTTTGTTATAGCTACAGGAAGAAGTCTTATTATTTATTTAATAGGTTGGACACCATATAGTATTGTTGCTTTAGATCAAGTATTTGGTGATAATTTTTCATTATATCATCCATGGGTTATGACAATATGTGCACTATTAGCAAAATTTTCGATTATTGTAAATCCAATTATTTATACAATTATACTTAAAAGTCAAGAAGTGACTGTAGTTACATCGCAAGAAGAATTATTTTAAGAAAATTATTTTATTTAAGACTCCTATCTTCAAAAACTAATTTTCGGTCACGTATACTTCGATCAACTGAAATTTTAACCATGTATTGAGGTTGTCATGGAAAGATTATGATAAAATTTTCAGCTCTATTACATAACATTTCATTTAGTATTTATTTTTTCTTTGAAAGAGTATGTCAATATGCAATACCTGGCAGAGTTCTTTTGTTTGTTCAATTGTTACTTTTTGAGTGCTTACAATGTTGTCGAATACAAAAAATGTCGATTTCAACTTGATTCCAACTTGATTTCAAGTTGATTTCTGGACGATAAATCAAGTTGAAATCGACAAATTTCTAATCGACATTTTTTGTATTCGACAAAATTGATGCTTTTCTTACTTTTTATGTAGTGGAAAAGAGCGACAAATTTCGTTAGTTAAAAACTTTTCTAGAAATTTTGATCTATCTATAAACATATTTCTATATGTCATGCACCGCAGCATATTGACAAGCTATGTAAAAGATGCCGTTGTTTGAGCGATTCGTCCGCAATGACCCTGACAAGTGCTGCGGTCTTTCATCTATATTAAAAAACGATATTTAATTAAAGTAAAGAACTACTAAGAAATAAATCTCGAGATGCTTGTTTAAACAGAAAAAAAAACTTAAGTATTTAAAATGATGTTCTTCTAAGAGCTTCGAATATCAGGATCAAAAGAATACTAAACAGAAAAAAAAAGCAAACAATATTTTTCACTTGTCCTTTTACAAAAAAAAGCTCTTATTTCAAGTAGAAGATGATAGAAATTATTCAGAAAAAGAAAATGACATATTAAATAAAAAAAAAACAAACTCATTTTATTTATGAAAGACCTAACCTCAAGTTGTCCAGACCTATATTTATTATAATCCCAATTAATGTGACAGAAATGAATTATTTTTTGAAGAAGAGAAAAGAAGGAGCATTTTAATTGTTAAATGAAGAACTTTTTTTCGATGTTGTTGTGTGTGGTAATAATGACATTTTGATTCATATGTGTCTGTAAAATTTCAAAATAAATTCTCATTTTCTCTATATTCCTTATAAGTATATATTTGTTTTGATTTAAGTGATCGTTCAAGAAAAATATCTTTACTACCATTGTAAAAATGGATTGTTGAGTATATTGAACAATATGTTCGATAATTTTAAATATCGGTCTTGAATGTATCATTCATGATTTGTAATAGATGGCATGTAAAAATAATAGTAGAGTTTGTTGAACGTAATAGATAAAAATTGATTATCATTAATCTATAGGATGAAGCTTAGCCAGGATAAAGAAGAATTAAATATTCAAAAAAAAACAACAAACTCGAGTAAAATTAATATTCTGATTAATTTCACTTTTACTAGTATTTATTTTAAGTTTGAAATATCTTTACATAAAATAAGATATCAGTGCTGTGATATTGATAAAAGTGACAACTATGTTATTCAAGATCAGTGTTACAACTTATAGAAATTCAATATATGAAAAAAGAATTGTAAGCCGATATATTAATCAGTAGTGATAGCTAAGTTTTAATTAATCTTTCGTTGGAAGTTTTTGATGATTGTTTTTCTTTCATTTTCTGATTTCTGAGAAATTTTCAAATGAATAAGATGATAAACAATGTAATCATAAAAATGTTAGATAAGAACATCTTTGAAAAAACTGATCAGTTAAGCCGATCGGCTTACTCATCTACGGAATTTTCATAAGTCCTGAGGCATAATAAAAATTAGTTTTTATGCTTAGCAAGAACAATTTTCCTAAACGAATGATTTTATATACCTCGTGAATACTTTTGTAAATCTTTCACATAATATATTATTAAATACTATCTTCTCTTGTAATAATAAAAATAAAAATATAAGAATATAAAAATTTATTTTTGCACCATTAATCAATTAGATATTTTATTTCAAAAAATAAAAAAAGTAAGAAACACTCATATGTTAATCTGATTGCACAAAAATTTCTTTGAATTATCACGTATTTATTATCTAACAGTTTTTATTAATTCACTAGATCTGTTAGAAATTTTATTGTACTGTAGTGAAACATGATCTAAAAGAAGTGTTGAAGCATAGAAAAATTTGGATTCCCTACCCTCGACAAACCTGAGAGTCATACTCTGCAAGATTAAAGTACACCTGGAAATTAGTATGATCGTCGTTCTTTACCTTTATTTCATGCTTACGGCAATATATTACAATTATTATGTTTCATCCTCGACATGCATTAACAGTAAGAATCCATAAATAGAAATATATTTTCATTAACATCCTCTTTTACAATAATGGCAACTTCATTGTGTCTCACGTTTTAATCCAATAGGGATTATGCTAACAGCTTTTTTTCTCTAGTATTGTTTAACATTTAATCAAAAAATCAAGTTGATCAATTGAGAAAAATTTATCTTTACATTCTCAAGTTTATGTTTTTATTATTACAAGAGAGGATATGATTCAAAAGTATGTTATTTGAAAGATTGACACGAATACTCAAGATTCATATAAAAACATTCAAATAGGATTTTCTTTTCTGTGCACATATAAACTAATTTTGTCCTGTCTCAAGAGTTATGAATGCTTACATATATGTAAGCATGATAATTAAAATTTGTTTTATACTAAAAATAAAATATCAAATATCAACTGAACTTCTTTAATAAATTATTATTATCTATAATCTATAATAGTATATAACGATTTTTGTTTAACTAATCAAATTGTTTTGTCGTATAATCATCAACTAGAGATTCAACTAATAATTTCCTATGAGTTTCGTCGATTTATAATAAACCAATGTTTACTTATTAACAGAAGATTCAACATAGTTAGATATTAATGAGGTGTATGTAATCGGAGACGACAGTATAATTATGAAAGAAGATATATTGATTAATAGATAAAGATGATTTTAATTTCGAGAATGTCTTAAAATTGGATATTGAGAAAGCTGTTGAAAAGATAAATGAAAAAAGAACTAATCAGGAAACTTCTCCAAGTGTCAAATTACTTTTTGACGAAAATGATGTTCATTTGATAAGTGATAATGAGAAATAGAACAGTTTAGAATGGTTTAGTTTTGTAAGCCTTTGTTCTCAAGATGTCAAAAGAATATCAGTTTTTTGTATTCCTTAAAGGACGCGGAAAGTCGATTTTCACCTTGAACTTTTGAACAAACAAAGTTCTTAATTAGAATTGTTCATTATATATAAGTAGTATTTCGTTTTTTTGGATACGTAAACATATGTATTATATTTTCTTTTATACATAAGAGAATTTTGAATATTGAAAAGCCTTAAGGTAAAAGATTTTAGAAAAGTTACAACATGTCCAATGAATTAGTCTCATTGAGAAATTTATTCGTGCATAGTTTGAAATCGAAATTCAATATCCCATTCCACTTAGGAGAAACCATAATTTGTTATAAAAAAAAACTAGTAAAATATCCATATGTCGGGAACGAAGACCCAGAAAATCAAATCATTCTAAACTTTTCTAATACTTATCAAATGAACATTATCTCAGTCGAAACAATATTTGATATATGAAGAGTTTACTTCTTAACCTCTTTCACTGAATTGAAGGTCTATATCAATCTGTTTTTTTTTAACAGTTAAAAAATAATTTTCAAATTCTTGATCATAATGTATTCTATTAGTATTTTAACTCCATTGTCAGTTGAGATAATTCTTCTATAAATGACAATTATTATTGTTCGAGTAAAAAAGTAATATTTATTAAAAATAATACAATTAAAAAACTCACAAATTATTACATTTAAAAATTAAATTTTTATTCTACTCGTGATGCTGAACATACAACACATTTATAAATATACGGTGGATTTTCTTCTGCACAAGAAGAACATTCCCATGGATTCTAGAAAATGCATTCGACAAAATAAAAAAAAAAAAAGTGTTCTTTCAGTATTAAATAAAAATAAACTTACATTATTCTTATATTTCTTTGCATGTTCTAATAAAAATAAAACAAATAATGAATTTGGTCCAACATGTAAATCTTTCATCGTAGAATTATCATGTACTAAATTACCATTAACAAAAAAATATTGATTAAATGGAGAATAATGATATGCAAGTTCGAACTAGACAGAAAAAAAAAGAAATCGAAAATTTATTTCTAGTAAAACGTCTGTTTTATTTTTAATATACAGCTGCACGTAATTCTCGAACTGTCGTTGATGGAAAAACGTCAACAGAAATCGTTCCACCATGTTGTTCAACACCATATTCATCACCATCGAATTGAACAAGAATTCTATTATACAACAAAATAAAATAAAATTAATACAATAAAAAATTGAATTATTATCTTGCCGAAATACATCTTCATCTTTTATTTGTCTTATTGAGTTTCCTTGAAGTCGAATACCTTGTGAAGCAAGTTGTTTAGCCATATTAGCAGCTTCATTAGTATTACCTTGTTGTATAGATTTACTTAAATTACGTACATTAGTCAGGATATCTAAATCAAAGATGTTTATGAAATCTTCTTTTTCTCCTGATAAGATCGGGCACTGAGCTAAGTGTTTAGTTATATATTCTTGAATAATAAGTTCGACATATTTGAAACTTCTTAGACAAATATAATAATTACTTTCTTGCAAAATAAACCGAGATCAACAGAAAAATTAGAATCAATATTAACGGATGTGATCTTTTGAATAGATTGTTCTTTTACTCTCAATCTGATGGTCCGATGAGTTTCGCACTAATTCTATAGTGCTGATATTAGATAGAGTATGTTGTATACAATAATGAAAAACAAACTTGCCTTCAACGATATCTTACAAGGAAAATTTCCTAACTGATCAATCGCCTATGAAACGGAATCATGCATATCCTAATGGATTCTGAGTAATCCGAAGAGTTCGGGTTCATAACTTCTTGCTGTCAACATATCATATTTTTTGCATAGAAGCAAACCTTAATGACAATATAAAATCATAGCTATATTTTGAACTAGGAACGACGGAAATATCTGAAATTTTCATTTCCTATAAACTTTTTGAATTCAAATTCAATCAGGCTCAAGTCCGAACACTTCTCAGATTAATCATAATGTATTAGTATATACATGATGAACATGTTTTCGGCTGAAAAGCAATTAATCAATCGGAAAATTTTTCTCGTTAGTTGTAATACATGATGATAAATTGCTACGGAATCTTTTACAATGTTATCGAAAATAATAAAAAATTTTGATGTCAATCTAATTATTTTAGAAGAATTTATAATCGTTTTTTTTTTCAAATAGCATATTATTTCAGAGAAGATAATAGTTTAATAAAACGATACTCGAATCTATATAAGTATGATTACAATTTAGTAGTCATATATGACATAGATCAAATATATTCAATTTTATTTTTTCTCTTGATATCATCATTCTATATTTAAATTCATTAAACAAAATAAGAAAAAAACATTTTAAAGAGCTTACTTTTTGCCTCACAATTTATTGAATTTGGAATGTCAGGTTCACTCATTTCATCAAAACTGATACGACTAGGATTATCGCCCATACATTCCGAACTTGTGTCTGATGATTCAACATGAGAACATATTTCAAAAACTGCACACAGTGTTTCATGAAATGAATCACGTAAGCTTGAATTTAACCATAAAAGAAAAGTTCCATTCAAATCTTTGATTTCATCAGGTTCATCTTCTGATGATCCAAATTCATATTGACCACTATCTGTTAGAGGAATATTAAAAATTTCCTTTGAAGAAGAAAAAAAAAAAAGATTTTTATATAATCAAACAATAAATCAAATAATGCTTATACTGCTTTATTATTTTCTATGTCAATAGCGTTCAATGAATAAGTATTGTTATCATGATAATATAATTGAATTAATGATCGTTCAGAATAATTATGTTCCAGAACTTCATCATCATTTGATATGAATTGAATACGACCAGTACTATATACTAAAAGACTCATTTTATCTGGAATAATAATAAAATAAATTTATTATTTTATTTTAAAATAGTTTTCTGTAGCACAGTCAAATGAATTCAAAATAAAATTTACTTTAAAAAATTTTAAAACTGTTCGCTATATGATTGTTTAGTTAAAAATAAAACAAATAATGAATCATTTTTCACTCTTAAATCATTCATTGTCGATTCTGCATGAGCTAAATGACCATTTACAAAAAAATATTGATTTACCGATGGAAATTGATGTGTATATTCAAACTGTTAATAGAATAAAATAAAGAAAGAGAATCTTGAAGAGATATAATTAACTCTCTCTCAAAATTGAGTTTATTCTTTCTCTAATAATCAATATGAATGTCAGAAATCAATTATCGTTTGAATTAAACAGTTAGATCTCAAGTTGACTACGCACGATTGATTTAAAATTTAGTAATATCGATCATCATACATATCATATATCGAATGAAAGCTCTTTTTTTTGCCTTTTCGTTTTAGATAACATTGTTTGTTTGTATGTAGAATATGAGAACGTTCATGACAAAACTTTCTCACTCTTGAGCTGTGAAAGATACGATTCATTTTGAATTAGGTATATCATTTGATAGGAAGTTTTGGAAACTCTACACAGTGATTTTGTGAGATTGAGGCTAATTTTTGGCCAAGACAATTTAATCAAATGCATATTGTTCATGAGTGCCAAAAGTTTGCCGTTTTTGACTGAACTTTGACGGCTTTCGGTCATAATAATTAGGCTTTTCATCAAAACAAATAATATATTTGAAATTAACACAAAAAAACTAAGTCGATTTATATGTATTATAAGATCCTTTCATAACTCGTATGTTCTTTCAAATGTTCAGCTGTGTCTCTCCCCTCAGAGTTACATCGAAAAATAAAGTCTGTTAAAACGTTAGTTTGATTCTGAAAAGTAACGTCTAGATTTTTTAAAATCTCACAAAAAAATCCAAAATAACAGATAAATGAATAATAAAAACCATATTTTGGCTGACTATTTTTCGATGCAACTCTAAGGAGATAACACTCGCGTTTTTGAAAGAACATACAAGTTGTCAAATGATCTTGTGATACATATAGATTGACTCAGTTTTTTTATGACGATTCCAAATAGATCATGTGTTTTGATATAAAATTATTCAAATTCGTTCAAAAAGTGCAAATATTTTTCACTCATGAACATTTTTTAATTGACTGAATTATTGTGGTCATAAATTAAGCTTAACATCACAGTATCATTTTGTGTAGGGCTTTCAACTCTTCTCCTCCTATCAAATAATATACAGCAAACATGTCATCTAAAAGTAAAAGTTAAAAAACTCTATTCTGCTATATTCTTATATGTTGTTCGATATATGATATATACTAAATCGATAACAACAAGTTTTGAGTCAGTCGTGCGCAGCCGGATTGAAATCTAACTGTCTAATCTGAACGATTAGTTGACTTCTGAAATTCAAATTGATTGTTAGAGAAATAATAAACGCAATTTCGAGAGAAAATCGATTACATTGCTAAAAGAGTCATCGGCTTTTATTTATTTACTTACAACTGCTCGTAATTCATGAACTTTGGTTGATGGATAAACATTCATTTCAAGAAGCATGCCTTTGTCTTTTATGTTTGAATCAAAACCATCAATTATAATTCGAATTCTATATTATAAAACAGAAATTAAAATGAAGAAGAATAAAAATGAATATATACATACGGAAATCTTTGTTCATCTAATCGTTCTTTTGAGTTTTCAGCAAGAAGTTGAACACCACTTTTTACTAATTTCTTAACCAGTTCATCAGTTTCATTAACTGCACCTTCTTGAATACGTTCACTCAATTTGTGAATTTCGTCGAGAATTTCTACAGAATCAAATAAGAAAGTCACTATGAAGATTTACAAATTGTTTCATCGAATGAAAAAATAATTCTTATATTTAAGATTTTTTTCTAAGTTTTATCTTAAACTTTATGTCGTATTTTTCAGTTAGGTTCGTCTTTCCAAAAATCAAAAAGTCAACGTTTGTCTGAAAAATAAAAATTCAGGTGATGAATTTCATAAAAAGCATGATATTTTATTTGACATATTCATGTTTTGCTAAAAGTTTTGATAATATTTGTCATCATCTATTTGAATTTATGATTGTATTAAAAAAAAATACTACATCTAACTTCATTTCTCAAAAACATATATTTGGTTGTGATTCAGGCTCAGAGAATATTTTACTAATACCCAAACCATTTGCTTTTATGTGAAAAGGAAAAATCATGCCTATGCGCATTTATATTAACTCTAGAGTATTGTTTCTGATGATAAGAATAGAATCTCGAAGAAGTTTGCATTTAAGTTATTTTTATTTTGAAAAAAAAAGTCTGTTGTAATTGTAAATAATAATAATAATAATAATCTGAAAAATATGCAAAAAGAAATCAGTAGCATTACATTATAATAAAGTCTCTTGTTTCTTATTTCATCTCACTATCTTAGATATAAGAATACCTTTATCAAAAAAAAACAATCGAAACAAAATCAATTCAATTAGGAAACATTTTATTTGTTGATAGTGATCGGTGCATTTGAATTCAAACAATTAGTCAAAGAAATAGATAACAAAACTCAATGAAAGATTTTTAAAGAAAGAAATCAACACAAGGTTTTTTTTCTTCTGCATGTGAAAAATAAGATTCTAGGATAATATAGTTTATTTCTTTCATATCTTCAAGATATTCTCGATCTAAGCGAGATCAACTCTTCTTAGGTTGCGATTTCAGTTCAGAGGCTAGCACTACTTCACCTATGTTTTATACACACTAATAACTAAAATTAAAAAAATCTAACTTTCTCCGTCAGCAATGGTTCTTGTGCTTGGTAATCCAGTTGATGTTTTGTATTTAGATGATCTGTCTGATTCGACACCTGGTGATCCTTTGCCTTTAGACATCAATTTCTCGAAACATTGCCGTAATGCATTATGAAACTGATCACGTCCTGCTGACTGTAAACGCAGCTTAAAAGTTCCCTCATCCAAATGAATTTCATCGTGCATATCCTTTGAAGATCCAAATTTATATATATCATGGCTTTGAAGCGGTAAGTCAAAAATTTCCTACAAGATAATATTTAATCAATCATTATATTCAATAATTTTTATACTTTTTTGTTCTTTTCTAGATCACGTGCTCGCAGTGAATAATTAGCACTCTTATCTTGAAGTAATTCGATCAGTGATCTATTTGAATAACTCTCTTTTGGACGTTGTTCATTCTTTGGTATGAAGTGAATGGTACTGTTACTATATGCTACAATATCCATTTTATCTAAAATGGAAAACAACCTAATTTATTTTCAAGTGATTTTTATATCATCTCTTATGAAGTGTATGTATCATAAATACGTTGTATTTTTATCAAAACAACATTTTAAGAAATAAATATAAAGAAAAGTTTATTTGTTTCATTTCATTATTGAATTATAAATAAAAAGAAAAGAAAAATTGAATCAGGATGATTATTGAAATCATTTATAGGTACATTTTCATCAATCAAAAAATTCATGACAGAAAAAAACAAGAAAACATTGAGTTAAGAATGTAAATAATATTTGCCCTCTAAAAACTTCATGACTGTTTTAAATTTACTGATACTTCGTCTATTCTACACGATTATTTCTTCAACAACTTTAATGTTTATAAAAAAAGGAATTTTTACTATCGAAATTGCAGCAGAAAATATTACAGTGATCGTTACTTATTAATTTCCGCATAAGAAAAAGTTATGGTTCTGAACCCGCCGTCACTGAGACTATCTCGTTCATATCTAATCGTAGCACATACAAACAAAGTCAGTCATTTTGATCAATAAAAAGTTTTTAATTTCAGAGGAGAAACATTTGTGAAACATGATCTAAAAGAAGTGTTGAAGTATAGATGTACAAATTTGAACCGACTTCATCTTCCTACAGACGGTGACAGTCATCTATGACAATGTGTTCCTTGAAAGTGCAAATAGCATCTGTATTGTGTTTGACATTTTAACGCCATAATCATTGAACTGACAGTTTTTTTTCAAATAGTTCTCATAATAGACATTTGTCTTTTTTTTATAATATGACCAAAAATTGAAATTCTCTAATGACAATGAAAATTATTTAATGAAAGGAATGAAACAATTTCAAAAGTTTACTTTTATATATTTATCATGAAATTTTTTTTTATTCATTTATATAACTAAAAACATCACCAACGAAAATCAATGGTAATTCTCTATTCTGTGACTCTTATTATATAATGAATAAAAAATCGTACTTGTATCATTGAAAACTAATAGTTTTGCAATATTCTAACGAGCGATCGTAAAGTGTTTAAACAAAATATTTAACTATTTTGGCATATTTCCGATGAATCAAAAACTATGCTTTTGTACTTCTTTTGAATATGGACTGAAAAATTTTATCTCAATTTTTGTTCGACAATAGTCAAATAATTTTTGAAAAAGTTCAAAAAATTAGTTTGAATTTTCACTAATATGATTCGATACTATAAGTTGAGATCTTTATTGAGTTTTCTAAATATTCATTTTTGAAAAATTGACAACTGTTTTATGGCGAAAGGAGTTCTTGAAAAAATGTTTAAGTCAAAGCTACATATTAGTATCATATCACATTTTGTAGAGTAGTGTCCACTTCAAAAAACAACCACTTACAACGATTTGTCACATGTTTGAAAAGGAACTTATAGAGAAAACAAAAATCTGTTGATTCCTCATTCAAAAGAATTTTTTAGAACTCTCAAAAAGTTCATCATTACTTTAAAAACAAAAAAGTTACATAACATTTTTCAGTTCTTATTCAAAAACAGAACGAAATCATAGGTTCTGACTCGTCAAAAGTGGACCAATATCTTATCTAAAACTTTTCCGATCGCTCATTATTTCTTCACTAACACAAATCACTGTTCTTAAAATTTCAATCAGAATAATAATTATCTATTCATTAAAGATTTTTTCCCATTTTTAAGAGCGAATAAATAACTAATCTCTAAAAATTAAATTTTTTTTTCAAACATATTTCAATTATTACAACACATAGTCTTACCTTTCACAATCCGTATACTATAAGACTTGAGTACGAAAGTCTTACCATATTATTTTCGCAATGAAGCTTGCCTTGATTGTTTGCATAATGAATTTTCATAGAAAGGTTCTTAAGTTTTCTTTACAACATGCATAGTCAGCTAGTTTTTGATAAACTTTCTTAAATCTCTAACTTCTCAAAACATGTACATAATGTTTGATGTAAATAGAACATATGATAGTATATTTAATTATGCACAATAAATTCCATCATGGTAATGAATTCTATCAGGATAGTTAACTCAGTATTCAAATTTTATATAAATCAGATTTATTGCAAATTGAAAATTTTCTACAAGATAATATTGAATTAATCAATATATTCAAAAATTTTATACTTCTTTATTATTTTCTATATCCAAATGTATAATTACCATAATTTAATTAATAAATAAACTATTCGAATAAAAATGTCGAAGATTTTGTTTACTTGTTGGTAGGAAATAAGTACAAAATTTGTTTTATGTTTGAAGACTGATTTTTTTTTATTTAAATATAGAATATTTGCAGTAGAAAGTAGAATATATATGACTCATTAATATAATCTAAGGATTTTTTTCAAGTATAGTTTTTAATTTGAAAAATTCTTTGAACTTATGAAAAATATCATTTGATATTGTTTGTAGAATAATCCTAAATAGTTAACCTTCAATATTGATATAGAGGGCCAATCTTATTTTTTTATTGGTTAAATTACAAATGTTTGATAAAGTTTTGATGAATTTATTATTATTTTTTTGTTTTAAGATTCATATAAACGAATAAAAACATGTCTTCACATCTTTGGCCAACAATTGAAACATCAAAAGTTAATTCATTATGGTTTCGACCATTACAACCTGGTAGAAAATAATATTTTATATGTTAATTTATAATTAATTTAGTATTTATTTTTGTTTTTTTTTTTGAGTACGAGAAGAATTTAGTTTAGCTAAATTTGAAGAATTACTTGAGCAAGAACGAAGACATCATATTGAAAAAGGTATCTGTTTTTTTTTTGTATTGTAATTTAATTCTTAAAAATAAAATTTTTATCAAGGTGTTAATTTACCATTTCATGGAAGAACAGAAATGGATAATGCTGATGTAAGAATTTTAATAATCAAAGATGAAATATATAGAAAAGTGTAAAACTTTTTGTTTATCTCTAGGATGATGAAGATGCTGATGAAGCTGAAGAAGAAAGTGAAGGTGGTGAACCAGATGATGAAATGGATGCACAACAAGGTCCAGGATCACCTGGAACTACAATCGGTGCTGGAACAACACCACATGATGCTTAAATATTCATGTAGTCCCTTTTTTTTTTCTCTAAAATATTTTGTAAATAAAGAAACTTTCCTTTTTTTTTCTTTTTCATCACTTTAGAGAAGTAAAATAATAGTATTTATACATGTATTTTCAGATATGGCATCAAAATTTCGGTAGAAAACTAGAAAATAAAACATTAATTGTTTTTTTTATTTGTTTTATTTCTATAAGTAATGTTCCGGTAAAAATGGTTCGAATTCAATGGTCAGACAGAAAGCAGCCGATAACACATAAAGAAAATGTTGCTATTGGCATGCCAAAAGATACAGAGAATAATACTACATATCTACGAATTGTTGTAAATGACAGGGTAGGTATATTTTTCATGTATTCAAATATAGAATGATTATCAAATGAATGAGACATAATCATAATTTTTTTTTTAATATCTCAAAAAAGATTTCAACATAGAATGACATTGAAATTCTTTGATGAGTTCTAATCCAGGTAGCTCGTTAGATATATGTAAAATCTAAATGCAGATGAGATAATATAATTGCAAAAAACTGAGTTACTTTTTGTCTCTGATGAAAATTTTTGAGGAAATAATTTTTATGAGTTTAACGTATGAATACTTGAACAAATCTTCATTAATTAAAAAAAAAGCAAACATTACTATGTTGAAATGTTTTTTTTTTTTTTTAAGAATATATTCACTTTTGTGTGATACACTAATAATATAATTTAGTATCGTGATTGTTATTAGATGATTATTTCTGAAGAACTTCATCATTTTCAATGGCTTGATGAATCGAGTTCGATTGGTGTAGCAACAATTACTACACCATCTGTTAAAATTGTTATTCTTTATAATTCACAAGACAAAACATCATGTGAGTTCTTTGATGAAATGGAAGCATTTCTTAAACCAGGTATGCTTTGATCACCATTGATATATTCTTAATACATTATTGATGAATTAGTTTTGCATAAAGAATCAACAGGAAAAACGGGAGAGGAAGATTAGAGAACATTCGTTTTCGCTTTACTTCTAGAAAATTTTCATTTTTTTTCTCAGCTAAAATTCTTTTTCTTTATTAAATTATTATTCCTCATCGACAAAAAGAAAATGATAAAACAATATCCGAAAAACATTTTTGTTTTTGTTATTGGATTAATTTAATATTAAATTTAAGTATATATTCTAGAAATAGAATCTTTCAATTTCTTTATATCATAAATCATCTTATTTTCTATGTATTACTATTTGAGAACCCGATAGACGATCACCGAGTCCACCTCCACAACGACGTAATCAAACAACACAAGGTATTGATGATTATCTTTAAAAAGCTAAAAGAAAATAATTCTTTGACTAATTTAATTACATACTTTCATTCAATTATAATTATAGAAAAGTTCAATATAATATTCGAGTATATTAAATTTTCAAAACTCATCTGAGTAAAACAAGTCACGATTTTTATTCAATAATTTCTTAACATTAATTTTAAAAACTTGCTACTCAATAAATTTTAAATAATTTTATCAACTAAATAGA